ATTAAGGGGGTTGGTTACCAGAAGGGCCACTATAAGAGTTCTACGACGTAGAGCTGTAAGGTTCTTTCTATAAGGGCATCTTTGAAAAGGGGTCTATTACGGTCACGGGTCCTTAGTACTTAGTCAGAATATTGTTTTTTGTTGTTGATGTTCGGAATGGGGTTTTGGGTTAGCTGCTAGGAAAAGAACGGGGTGGTTGGGGGGGACAGCCCCGCCCCATTTGCAAACAGAATGCTCGTAGAAAGGCTGCATGACAGAATGTCCGTTGATGGTGCGCCATTCTTTGAGGAAAGTTTGCATGCTTTAAGGATAAAAAAGAGCGGGGAGGTCGGATGTGTACTGTACACACCCAGATTATACATACGTGCATACATACATACATACATACATACATACATACATACATACGTACGTACATACGTACATACATACATACATACAGACAGACATACATACATACATTACATACATTACATACATTACATACATTAGATACACTACATACATACATACATACATACATACATACATACATACATACATACATACATGCATACATACATGCGTACATGCGTACATACATACATACATACATACCTACATACATACATACATACATACATACATACATACATACATACATACATGCACTCATACATACACTCATACATACATACATACATACATACATACATACATACATACATACATGCGTACATAACTATATACATACATACATACATACGTACGTACGCACGTACATACATAACTACATACATACACACATATATACATACATACATACATACATACATACATACATAAATACATACATACATACATACATACATACATATATACATACATACTTGCATACATACATATGTAGATGTACATGTATGTGTGTCTATATGCACATACTTTGCCTAGACATGTCTATACATAGAAAACATCCATACATAAAGACATATGTACATATAGACATAAATACATGTATACATATGCGTATACATATCCGGATGCATCCTCATCATCAACACCCTCGTCATCATCATCATCATCAGCAGCAGCATCATCATCAGCATCGTCCTCGTTAACACCATGAGAAAACGCGCGAGCTCAGAGGAAATTTGTTCTTTACTTTTACTGTCTGCAGACAGGTGCATGAACCTAAGTAACTAAATTCTTTACTAAGGCAAGTACATATAATTACTTAGGATCCTTAGTAAGGGACTAACTTCTCCATGCTGAATTGCTGGTCTTTCTTTATGTCTTGCTTCATTCGGTTTTCGTGTTTTCGTTCTTTGTTGCT